ATAATACAATTTCACTATTTTCATACCAGCGACTTGATAAATTACTCGATTGCATTTGTCCAAGATTTTAGGAAAATAACCTCTAAACAAAGATATGCGCTGCAGCACAATGGTTGCGGCGTCAACTCGTTTATCTTCCATACGCCATTTGCTCTGCCAGTAATTATCCATTAAAAACAGTTCGGCCATCCACTGTGCGTTTAGCAATAGTAAATATGTTTAAAAAAAATCCACCCTGTTTTCAAGATTTCAAAATGTTTTGAGATATCCTTCAAATTAAAATTTGAAGCCGTCGATTTTATTGCGACATATACTTAAATAGTTTTATTAGATACTTTTTAAACCAAAGAAAAAAAATTTGTCAGAAATAGAAATAAAACTACCATAAATAATCGGAAACAAGAGAAATGGCTAGTGGCAGCAGCGATGAACACTCTGGTAGTGGGGGTAACAGTGGACGCCGCCATGTACCATTTAATTGGGGGGGTCCCGATCCAGAAGATGATGGTTGCGACGATCTGATGGACGCTGACCAAGATTTATCAAACTACGTACACAAATATCGCCATGATCAGGAGCAAAGTTTGAAAAAGACTCAGGGCTCCCTTTATTTACCACCACCGAATTCGGCCGAAACTAATAAAGAGGGTGATAAAGGAAATGACTTACCTTCTAGAGGAAAAAATTTTCCTATCCGAGCACATGCTCCCAATGAAAAGCGGTGTGAAAGATTCTTAATATATAAAACGCTAGTCTGTATTTCCAAACAAAATATGAATACTTATGTGATTCTTCTTTTTTAGTGACGATTTAGCTACCGCAATCCTGAAACGCAAGGACCGCCCAAACCGTTTAATCGTTGAGGAAGCTGTGAATGATGATAACTCGGTGGTGTCTTTGTCTCAAGTTAGTTTTCAAAATTAAAACGTACTATTGTATTTATGTATGTATATTATTTAACTACACACTTGCCTTCTTAAGCTTCTTAGTCACAGTTTACATACATATAAACACACAAGCACATACATATGTCAGCCATTTTCTTTTATAGATGTTATGAAAGATATGTTTTATGCTCAAATTTATCATTTCATAATATATATATCTCTTAGAAGTCCCAAAAATTCTGCATTTACACTAAATAATACAATATGTACTTTGTTCAGGAAAAAATGGACGAATTGCAATTGTTTCGTGGCGATACGGTAATTCTTAAGGGTAAGCGTCGCAAAGAGACCGTTTGCATTGTTTTATCGGATGAAAATTGTCCTAATGAGAAAATTCGCATGAATCGTGTTGTACGCAACAACCTGTGCGTGCATTTGTCCGATGTGGTATCCATTCAATCATGTCCGGATGTCAAATACGGAAAGCGTGTTCGAATTTTGCCTATCGATGATACCGCAGAGGGCGTAACGGGCAACCTATTTGAGATCTACTTGAAGCCCTATTTCTTGGAGGCCTACCGGCCTATTCACATGGGCGATAACTTTATTGTTCGCGCTGCTATGCGTCCCATAGAATTTAAAGTCGTGCTAACCGACCCTGAGCCGTATTGTATTGTGGCACCTGAAACGGTGATCTTTTGTGATGGCGATCCGATCAAACGTGAGGTAAGTTATTAAAATCTTATAAATACGTATTTGTACTTATATGAGATCATCTAATACTTCAATTAATAACTCTAAAGGAGGAAGAGGAATCGCTAAATGCTGTCGGTTATGACGATATTGGCGGTTGCCGCAAGCAGTTAGCCCAAATTAAGGAAATGGTTGAGCTGCCACTTCGCCATCCTTCGCTTTTCAAGGCTATTGGTGTGAAACCACCACGAGGTATTCTGATGTACGGCCCACCAGGTACAGGAAAAACTTTAATAGCACGCGCTGTCGCCAATGAGACTGGTGCATTTTTCTTCCTCATTAACGGTCCTGAAATTATGTCTAAACTGGCCGGTGAGTCCGAGTCAAACTTGCGTAAAGCTTTCGAAGAAGCTGAAAAGAACTCGCCCGCTATTATTTTCATTGATGAAATTGACGCTATCGCACCTAAGCGTGACAAAACACATGGTGAAGTAGAACGTCGTATTGTGTCTCAATTGCTAACCCTTATGGATGGCATGAAGAAGAGCTCACATCTGATTGTTATGGCCGCCACCAACAGGCCAAACTCTATTGATCCTGCCTTGCGTCGTTTTGGACGTTTCGATCGAGAAATAGATATTGGCATTCCTGATGCCACTGGACGTTTGGAAGTTTTGCGAATTCACACCAAAAATATGAAATTGCATGAAGACGTTGATTTAGAACAAATTGCCGCGGAAACTCACGGTCATGTGGGTGCTGATTTAGCTTCGCTTTGTTCGGAAGCTGCTTTGCAACAAATTCGTGAAAAGATGGACCTTATCGATTTGGAAGACGATAAAATTGATGCCGAAGTATTGGCCTCCTTGGCAGTAACAATGGAGAACTTCCGTTATGCTATGACCAAATCGAGCCCGTCGGCATTGCGTGAAACTGTGGTGGAAGTACCCAACACTACCTGGACGGATATCGGTGGTCTGGAGAGTGTCAAGAAGGAATTGCAAGAACTGGTGCAATACCCAGTCGAACATCCAGATAAGTTCTTGAAGTTTGGCATGCAACCAAGTCGCGGTGTACTATTCTACGGACCACCTGGTTGTGGTAAGTTGCAAATGTATCATTTGAATGCAGTGTAGTCGCTTATTGGCTATCCGTTTCCATAGGTAAAACTCTACTTGCAAAGGCCATTGCTAACGAGTGTCAGGCCAATTTCATTTCGGTTAAAGGACCAGAGCTGCTTACTATGTGGTTTGGTGAGTCCGAAGCCAATGTTCGAGACATTTTTGATAAGGCACGTTCAGCAGCACCTTGTGTGTTGTTCTTCGACGAGCTGGACTCTATTGCTAAGGCACGTGGCGGCAATGTGGGCGACGCTGGAGGTGCTGCCGACCGTGTAATTAACCAAATTCTTACCGAAATGGACGGAATGGGTGCTAAGAAGAACGTTTTCATCATTGGTGCCACCAATCGTCCCGACATTATCGATCCGGCTATCTTGCGTCCTGGCCGTTTAGATCAACTTATTTATATTCCACTTCCCGACGATAAGTCGCGTGAAGCTATCCTTAAGGCTAACTTACGCAAATCACCATTGGCTAAGGATGTCAATCTAACCTACATTGCTAAGGTGACACAAGGCTTTTCGGGTGCTGATTTGACTGAAATTTGTCAGCGTGCCTGTAAATTGGCAATTCGGCAAGCGATTGAAGCCGAAGTAAAACGAGAAAAAGAGCGTGCTGAAAAGCAAACCATGGAAGTAAGAGTTGAAAATCATATGCTATTTTAAATGTGAGTTCACGATTTTTGAACCTTTAGATGGATGAAGATGATCCAGTACCAGAGATCACACGTGCACACTTTGAGGAAGCGATGAAGTTCGCTAGGCGCTCAGTATCGGACAACGATATTCGGAAATACGAAATGTTTGCACAGACTTTGCAACAATCGCGTGGCTTCGGACAGAACTTTAGGTAAGAACTTAATTTAGTTGGTTTGCTATGCAAAGACGACATAACTGTTTTTCTTATTTATATTTAAAGATTCCCGGGCGCTGGCAGCACTTCACAAGGTTCCGGGCCAAATGAACCAGCGAATCCGCCAGGTGACAATGGCGACGACGATCTTTACAGTTAGATTTTTAGTTTTAAAATCAATGAATATAAAACAAACCCAATTTTGTCAAATTGAAGTATGCTTAAACAAGATAAACAATTTGTAATTTGAATAAAACCAAAACTAAAAAAAAAAAACAAAAAAAAACATGAAATGAAAGACAACTAAGCCAGATGTTATCTGCTGAGTCGCCGGTCTACATATAGCGATTATAAGAACTTTATTAGTAGTGCGAAAGAATTATAAGTGGCTGCTTAAGATACATACATATAATGAAATGCAAATGAGAATGGATATTCGCTGCATTAAAAAAGCACTGTCGTAAACATCTCATGCACATGCATACATATATATATATATATACACGTAGTAAATCAAGCGTACCCGCATAAATAATTTTAACAGTGCAAGGAATGGAGTTTTTAAAAATATGAAAGTGGAACAATAAAACTTAGTCGACATAAAAAGAGTTCGCTGGCCTTTTGATTGTTAATATATACATACATATATATGGTAACTATGGAGCGATACCTTAGGTCAGTTTTGCTTTTAATGAAAGAGCATTTAGGTTACGTTCGAGGCGCTAAAAATACGGCATTTCAGAAGATTTTCAGTTGAGCATCAGCAAAAAGGCTGCAATATTGCGGTAATGTGTTATGTTGCTCGAGCACAGCCTGTATTCGAGCTGCAATTATTGCGGCAATGTTATTTTCTATGGAAGAACATCAAGTTCGAAGCGAAAATTTCGGCGACTCTGCCTACATCTAACGTTCGGAAAACAAAATTTTGACAATCCGTTGCTCATCATTGGCAACATATCGGAAGATTTGTATTTGAGCATCAGCAACATATCATCACGAAAGCAACGAAGCTGCAGTATTGCGGTAAATATTACGTAGCTCAAACACACCATTTAGTTCTCTCCATCTGGCTAACCAAACAATAAAACTATGTTCATTGGGATTAAACACCCTGGGGGAAAACAACTCACTGTGAACTGATGTGGGTCCCGGCCACAAAGGCATACAGGGAAACGAGGAGGCTCACATACTAGCAAGAGAGGCCGCAGCCACTCGACCTAAAGGCCCTGAACCCTTCCTTGCATTGGGACCTCACACCATCAAGGAAGAGTTGAGAGCAGAAGAGCAAAGGCTAAGAAGAGCACATTCGGACAACACGCCCGGACTAAGGCAGGCGAAAAAACTTCTTGGAAGCCATAATCCCAAAAGATCTAAGGAACTGATAACATAAAAAAAAAACAAATCTGAGAGTTATAAGATATGAAGATGTTTTTTATTTCTNCTTCAAAAAAAACAAATCTGAGAGTTATAAGATATGAAGATGTTTTTTATTTCTTTTACTATGAACATCTAGCTTTCGTCGTTGAGGTGATGCTCGGATGACCTGAGATGGCAGGTTATAGTCGTACGTAGAACTGCGTTCAGGTACGTTTCAAGATTCCTCCGCTTGTGCCTGCTGTACAAAATTTTCGAGTTACTTGACCTAGGCACTTTTTATGGAGGAACATGTTCAAATATATACGTGGAATGTGAACCAGCAAATAAGCAAATTAAAATATAGTAAACATCATTAATAAATAATAATTTAATAAATTAAAAATTTTGAAATTTGTTTATAAACAAATTTTATTTAGCATTGGTTCTTGATTTTCTGAAATTACAAAGATACTTATGTATATGTATGTATCGCTGAATTTATCTTCTTATTTCTTCTCTCCTTTGCGAACTTTCGCCAGTTCTTTGTACGAAAATCAGAGGCCATTCAGAACTTGGTCCTTCCGTAGCATCATCTACTTTATATAAGCATGGTATGCCCAAGTCAGCACAATCGCGTTTTTATGCGTTAAGTTGTTTTTTGGCTCAAGCTGTGGTGTAGTGGTTAGCAGTGCGCGCTACCATTCCGCAATGCCATGGTTCAAGCCATTGCAAAAAAAAAAAAAACAAAACAATTATAATAGTAAAAGTTTTTTTTCTAGAAGCGGTCGCCCCTCGGCAGGCAATGGCGAATCTCCGGGTGTATTCGAAAACTGCTTCTAAAAATACAATCGCCGTTCGGTCTAGGTCCCTCCCCTTTGTGTTACAACACCAAGGCGCCGTTTAAATAGTCTTCAACGTTCGGAAAAGCTTATTGCAAAGACATTGGTAGTCCCCTATTACTATTATTTGTGGTCTTACTCTACAAGGAGGGTTTTCTTTGCACACTTTTCTGACCATTCCTTTGGATGCTTGCGTTTGCGATGAGAGTACATATTCGATTTAGAGTTGAACGTTTGCGGACAAAATGTACAGGTATACAAAACTTCTCCAGTGTGTGTTGCCATGTGTTCCTAAACAATAAAAATATACACATACTTAATATGGAGATATTAAAAAATATTAGAAGTATGTATTTACTCGCAAGCATTTTGGCAATTTGAAAGCTTTATCACAAAGTTTGCATACATGTTTTTTCTCTGCGCTATGCATATATTCAATGTGGCTTTTGTGGGCCCGTAAGGTTGGAGACACTTTAAAGCAAATTGGGCAGGCTTGAGGCGTTTGGTATTCTTCGGTGTGCATTGTTTTCATGTGCCGCGCTAAGCCATATTTTGTTTTCAGCTCTGTATTGCATAATGTGCACTTTATTAAGGACCTTGATACGCCAGCATGTTCCTCCTGATGCCATCGAAAAGCTTGTTTCCCATTTAAGGACTTGCCGCAAATGTCGCATATCTTAGCATACAAATTTAGATGAACAAGCGCAAGGTGTTGTTTCATCATGTATTGATNCCTGATGCCATCGAAAAGCTTGTTTCCCATTTAAGGACTTGCCGCAAATGTCGCATATCTTAGAATACAAATTTAGATGAACAAGCGCAAGGTGTTGTTTCATCATGTATTGATTGCAGAATCTGCATAAAAAAACAATGTGAATTGGCCAAAATTTTATTGGAATGACATATCGCACATCCATTTCAAAAGTGACACAAACGTAGCAGCATACAAATTTCCCAAAGAGTTTTTGGGGAGTGATGCTGGAGTGGCAGTCCTTGGTCAGATATGTACATATATGTACATGCATACATACATAAATCTAGGTCGTTCCGGTTATGTAGACCCGACTGCCGGGTACTTTGGTTTGCAGGGAGGTTTTTAGACTTTTTATTTACATATAAGTATGTATACCTTTCAGCAAAAGCTGGACCAAAACTTTGGTGTAAATTATTGAAAAAATTAAGGTAGAGTCTCCCTTGCCCGTGTGATTAACATGTATATATGTAATACGAAATAAATTTCCCGTTTTCTGAAAACGGGTGATTTTGACTTGTGTCATCTTTGAAGTGGGTGTATTTTCACTTACCTTTTATCACATTGCGGACATTTAATATTTTTTTGTTCTTTTGGGGCATGTATTAAATGATGTCGATTTAAAATTTTACGGCTGAAAAAGCTTTTACGGCAAATGTCGCACTGATAAATGCGTTCCTTAGAACCATGGAAAAATTGCTCATGTGCCTCGAGACCGCTTCGATCGCATAGTACCTTCTCGCAGTGTTTACATTTGAAGTATTCTGGATTGATGTGAACTTGAATATGGTCAACTAGTACACCGCGGTTAAGTAATTTCTTGCCACAGCACTTAACATACCCATTAGTTTGGTGCTCTTCGCGGAAGTGACTTTTTAATTCTCTGAAATCTGTAAGAGATTTGCAACAGATACAGCATTTTAATTTAAAATTCTGCGCTATAAATTCATCACTTTCTGCTGTTTTATTTCGCTGCGTATTCCTTTTCTTAAGGTCATTTTCTTGTTCTGTCAGTCTTATTTTTTTAGTCCTTTTAGCCAGCCGTTTTCTTTTTGGAGGAATTCGACATCCGATGTCATCCTCTTCTCTCCCTGAGTTATTTTCTTCATCTTCAGACAACTGCGGTACATAGTTTGATTCTATTGTGCCATCTTGCATAGTTTCGCTCCTTATGCTTTGCATTTCTAAATTTACACTGAGTTGTTGGCTGTCTTCACTTATAGCGCTACATGGAGAAATCAAATTTTCAGTGTCAACAGCACATTCCCGCAAAGAAAGTGGCTCACTCCCCAGATGTTTCTCCAGATTTTCAAGCGCATCTGTCTCTGATTTACTTTCAGTAACCACAATCTCTAATTCTTGCAAAGTCTTAAGCTTACTGCTCGCCGCCAAATGCGCCTTCTGCACACGTACGTAAAATTCATGAAAAGGATGAAGCGATTCCCAGCATTCAATGCAAACTACTTTGTTGGATAAAAAGGGCAACATACTGAGCTATAAATAATAGAGAAGTTAACTTAAAAATAGTGCATATACCTAAAAGTTAAAGAAAATTTACCTCTTCCTTGAAGTGTTTTTCAATTACCTCTCGCACATTTACCGATTGCTCATCATCAGAATCGAAATTTACTTGATTATCACACGCACCGGATTTTTGTAAACACAATGCACAGGATTGGTCATAAAACATTTTGCAAGCTTTGTAAAAAGCACTGGTCAAGGCGAATTAATAATTATAAATTCGCCTTGGCACTGGTATTCTGATTTGTTTTGTTTACATATTAAATCTGGTCTGTTCGAATAGATCTCCATTGAAAATTATTCAGCATCATATTGCAGGAGAGCAATACTAGTTGCGTTTGTTTACTCATTTCCAGTAAAATCCGGTAAAAGTTTTTACGGATTTTCATGTTTTGGCGTTTTCGTACGCAAAGTAGGGGAAATTGAGAGAGCGAAAAATTACAGTTGAAGTTGCAAATTTTTACTGGATAAATTTTTACTTGTAAGAGTTTGCTAGTACGAAAAACAGCTGATCGCATGTTGCTCGATGAAATTTAAACTAATAAGGAGACTGTTTGTAGGTTTTTATTGTGGAAATACACAAAATACATAAGGTATGTACTCGTATTGAGGACAAAATTCTCCAGCAGAAAAAGTTCTGAGAATTTAGTAGCATTCGCTCTCAAAGAGACGAAATATCAACAGAAGTACGAGAACGCAAAATTTGCAAAAACTTGCAACCTTCGAAACAGCTGATCACTTGCACAGTTGCCACTGGTGATTAATTTGGCAATTTATTTTCTGCTTGGTGCATTTTCCCCCGATTTGGCATTTTATACAATTGAATAGTTTTGGATAAGAAAAACCTTTTTAAAATACGAATTAATTATATCGGAATGCATAAGTTATTTTTCTCATAATTATTTCTGATATCACATGGTGACGCATTAAAAACAAGAGTATCTCCTCCAAACACCCATCTTTGATCCAAAATAATATAATAGAGTAGGTTTAAAATTATAAAATTTTCATTTCAACAATCAACCTACCAAAACCGATAACTTCAGCAAAAAAACATTTCAGCATGCTTCATTTAAATCTATTTTGGTATATTTAAAGGAAATTTATGGTACAAACGAAAAATGTCATACGGCAACCATAGTCAGCAAGCACTAAAGTAAACAAACTGGAGATTAATAGCAAATTAACGAAAAATAAACTCAACAAACGTTGTGCTTATTAAATTTACGCACTTTTTAGTTATATATTTACTTATTAATAATAAAATTTGCAATAAATAACTCAAAAAGGCCATATTTTTTTTTGTTTATTTACAAACATGTGTTTGTGATCAGCTGATTTTCTTACTTGCAAGTTTTAGCTGGAACAAATTTTTCCAGCAGAAATTTGCAGCTCTCTTTCACATTTCGCTCTCTCAATTTCCCCTACTTTGCAAGTTTTTTGGGTATGAGAACGCAAAACCAGTAAAAGTTTTCTAAAACTTTAGATAGTTGGGCGTACGAGTACACTCCTATAGTAAAATATAAAATATATTGTTGCATTAGGAATATGCTGCGAATAAACAACTAATTTATCAGCTGTTCATGAAAGTTGCAAATTATTACTGGAATAGCGTTACTTTTTTGTAAATTTTTTCTATGAGAGCGAATTCTTAGAAATAAAGTTACTGGAGAGTTGCTGACAAGTTACTGGATAATTTGTAAACAAACACAACTAATAAAAACCCACAAACAGTTTCCTTATTAATTTAAATTTCATCCAACAACATGCGATCGGCTGTTTTTCTTACAAGTAAAAATTTATCCAGTAAAAGCTCGCAACTTCAGCTGTCATTTTTCGCTCTCCCAATTTCCCCTACTTGGCAAGTTTTTGCGTACGAAAACGCCAAAACATGAAAATTCGTAAAAACTATTGTTGAATTTCACAAAACAAACACAACTATTAGCCCTGCTCGCGTACGCACTATCCAGTAAATCCAGTACTAATTTTACTGGTTTTTTACTGGATGTCGTTTTCGTACGCAAAAACTGGCAAGAAACTAGCAAAAGAGGGGAAATTGACAGAGCAAAAATGACATGATGCTTATTATAAATCACATTAAGAAAATAATTGTTTGTGGTGCTTTTAGAGTTGCAATTGACAAAATAAACCTATTAATATATATAATAAGATGGAAAACACTAGTTCTCTAAGAAAATTGCATCGGAAAATAACAAATTAATCAGCTGTTCATAAAACTAGCAACTTCTTGCTGGTTTTGCGTTTTCGTACTTTCTTGCATATTTCACTCATTGGGAGTAAATATTGGCTTACTCTCCGAAATTTGGTTACTGGCAAGTTACTGGATATTTTTGCTAGAGAATACGAAAACACAACTACTATCGAACAGACCAATCATCTGTGAAATTTATTACAGAGTTGCCAGGGATTTTATGTTATTAAGTTTTAATTTTTGTAAAGGCATAGGCGAAAATTCCCTCAAAATATACAACTGAAAATTTATATCCAAAATCAATGCAAGATAGCCAGTTTTATTAATTTAAGAATTAACATTTCTGCATAAAATTAACGAACAAATTTGAAGAAAATTACTGCTCATATACTTACATACATGTTAGTAAATCGTATCACCTATTATTAATATTATAGTGCAAACGTATACTCATAAGTTACCCACAATATGTCCATCAGAAAAAAATTTATTGTATACATACATATGTATGGACTGCTTTTTTTTTAATTTGTAGAGCTATACTATGTATATATTTTCCATTCATTTTTGCTCGTCTGTATCCACTACATCCACGGATTCTATTATGGTCTCAAGATCTTTTTGTATCTGCTTTCCCAAGCCCATAGTTTTTTTCTTGGCACATTGTTCTGCCCATTCTTTAGGATGCTTCCGCTTGCGATGTGCGTACATATTCGCATTTGAATTAAATGTTTGCGGGCAAAATGTACAAGTATATAGAACTTCTCCAGTATGAGTTGTCATATGTTCCTAAAAATTAAAATATCAGTTCGAAATAGTTTTGTTTGTTTTAAATGAGCATGCTTACGCGTAGGTCATTAGGTCTTTTAAAAGCTTTGTCACAAAGTTTGCAAGCATGTTTTCGTTCGGTGGCGTGCATATATTTAAAATGTGTATGATGCGCTCTGAGAGTTGGAGACACTTTGGAGCATATAGGACAGACTTGTGGGGTCTGGTACTCCTCAGTGTGCATTACTTTCATATGTCGCGCTAAGCCATATTTTGTCGTAAGTTCAGCATTACACAATTCACATTTAATCATGGGCCTCGGTAAGCCCAAATGCTCTTGCTGATGACGACGAAACGCGTCGCCACCGTTGAAAGACTTCCCACATATGTCACAAATCTTCGAATACAAATGTAGATGGACTAGCTTTAGGTGCTGCTTCATATTGTATTCATTGCAGAATCTGCAGTTGGTATAATTGCTTTGTTAGTTTAGGGAAAAATAAAAATAATTTTTTTTTAAACTTACGTTTTTTCGCATTGCGTACACTTAACAGTCTTTTGTTCATCTGGAGCATGTAGAAGATAATGTCGAGCAAGTACTTCGCGGCGAAAGAATCCCTTAGAACAAACGTCACAACTAAAAGTACGTTCTCTCGAACCATGGAAAAATTGAAGGTGCGTTTCGAGCCCTCTCCGGTCTGACAATAATTTTGCACAGTGCGGACATTTGAAGTATTCCGGGTCATTGTGGAAGTGAATATGGTCAACGAGTACACCTCGCTTCAGTAACTTCTTGCCGCAACATTTTACATAGCCATTCATTTGGTGTTGCTGTCGAAAATGAATTTTGAGTTCTCTAAAATCTGTTAATGTCTTCTGGCAAAGAAAGCAAACTAATTTAAAATTATCGGCAATATATTCGTCATAGTCCGACGTTTTATGCCGCGGTTTGTTATTCTTCTTTGTCTCTGGCTTTTGGTCACTTCGCTTTCTTTTTTGCTTTCGTTTAGTACGAACTTTCTTTTTTTGTGGCGGAGAAGGCGCCAAGACATCCTCATGCCTACTGAGTATATCAGGCATTTCAATTTGTGATCCATCTTCAGATATATTTGGATGGTAGCATTCTTCTTTATACTCATCTTCACTTTTAATATCCACATTTTCAATACTCTTATCGAGCTTGTTGTCGTTGCTAATTGTGTTATAAGGGACGGTCAGTTGCTCTATTCTAACACTGCATTCTCTTAAGGCAACCGACTCACGGTCTAGGTTATCGAAGTCCTTTTGACGACGAGGACGGCCACGTCGACGTTTAGGAGGTGATGCTAACTCATCTATAACATCTGGCTCTTCTTTTATTTCTGTCACAGATATCTCTAGCTCTTGCAAAGATTTCAGCGTGTTCATTGCTGCCGAATGAGCATTCTGCACACGTATATAAAATTCATGAAAAGACTGGACCAATTCCCAGCATTGGCTGCACACAACTTTCGTGGAGAAAAATGACATCATACTGAGCTACAAAAGGGAATAGGCTCATTTCAAACGTTGTAATTCGAATCTCAGACAACTTTACCTCATCCTTGAAGTGTTGCTCAATTATCCCACGGGCATTTACTGCTTCCGAATCATCAGAATCGATATTAATTTTATCGATGGAATTGTTGGCTTTTTCCAAGCACAAAATACATGATAGTTTGTCAAACATCCTTCGTATTTATAGATGTTTGGAAAAATTATATTCTTCGCGTAAATGAACATTTACTATTAAATTGCATTGTTTATATGAAGAACGTTGCCACCTAAACTACTTTGCCCCCCAAAATTCCAAATATGTGCCAAAATAGTGGATTTCCGAATAAACGCGCGCAGCGCTCATCTGGTACCCTGAACTCGCATTGATTTATCAGACAGTTGACAATTCGACTGTTTGTGCGATTTTTGCTCTGATTCACTAAACTTAAAATATTTAAGTTGAGGAACGTGCCTTTATAATAAAAAGTATTCGTTAAATGTTATACAATTTTTTAAATAAATGCTGGAATTTCAGCAACTATTCCTCAGCACATTTCAAATATTGTTTTATGCTATTGCAGCAACAAAATACATCGCCCCGTCTATTTTACAATAACAAAAACAAATATTTCGAAGTTTTGACGAGTTTTTAGTTTTTATACCAACCGACATTCATACATACATACCCGTGTACATATGGATTTTTTTTTTTTAATATATACGTAATTTACCATTAATAGTAACTATCTCTAGATGATGTTGTTGAAATTAGAAGTTGGCACCTTTTGTTTTCCTTCTGCTTGCTCCTTTGACTCTTTCATGATATTAAAAGTTCGCATATTACGATTCTTACGTTCAGCTTCCCATTCGAGACGATGCCGTCGTTGCCTATGTTTATACATATTGGCGCTTGAGAAGAACGTCATTGAACAGTTCGGACAAACGTATAACACTTTGCCAGTGTGCACAGAGGTATGCTCCTATCATTAATGTGGAAATATTTATATAAAAATTAGAATAATTTTATGCATGTATGTATACTCTACCCTAAGGTCTTGAGGTCGCTTAAAAGCTTTTTCACACATGGTACATTTGAATTTACGCTCACATTCATGATTGTGATGAATGTGACGCTTAAGAGCCCGAGCGGTTGTCGAAACCTTATTGCAAATCTTACAACGATGCTCGCAGTCTTGGTTTTCATGTATTGTCCTCATATGCTGGTTAAGGCCATATTGATGACGAAGCCATGCTCCGCATATTTGGCACTGCTTCGGTTCAGGAGTTGGTCGCGGTTCATCAGAATGTTCTAACATGTGGTGTTTCTTCAAATAACTTACACGCACCAGCTTACCACATTTGTCGCATATGACTGTGGCACCGTGGGATTTTTTTATGTGATCTTTTAGTGCACGGTGAGTCGGAAATCTTAAAAAGAAAGTTTATAAATATAGGTTATTTTATTATATTTTAACAGACTTTTAACATACTTTTTGATACGAGTACATTGCGTGCAATTGATTTTATATTCTGATTTTGGAACATGCTTTGAGAAGATGTGGTTCTCAAGAGATACATTTGACGAGTAGACTTTTTCACATTTTTCACATGGGAATGTTTTTGTTTCCTTTGCCTTTAATGGATTAACGTGCGCATCTTCATGTTCCTGTAGACTGCGACTATTATTAAAAATTTGTCCACAAGTTTTGCATTTGAAATATTCTGGATTCCCATGTATATAAATGTGCTCGGCCAGGGTCTTTCTTGTAAAAAATTTGCGTCCACAACACATCAAAAATGACGGTTCATCGTTATGAGAAGCTCGAAAATGCGCACGAATTTCGGCAAAATTTTTTACCAGCAACTCGCATTTTGGACATGAAAGTAGTTTTAAAAATGTTTTAATAACTATTTCATACTCTTCTTGTTGTGCATTTTTTGCTTCAATTTCTTCACGGGTCATACGTTTGGGAGGTATAAGAGGCTTCGGTCGCTTACGGTATTTTTTGGGCTTGACAACCTTTCTTTTCGGAATGATAGCATATTTCCGTTTTGGTTCAAAACTTTCATCCGAATCTGTGTTATAACTACTTGAACTACCGCTATCTGCTGTTCCAGCCAAATCAATAGGCTCAAATTCAACATTGTAATTTTCATGGTCGTCATTATTAATAGAGAATTCCTGATTTTGATCATTTGCTTCGTTATTTTGAACATTGCCTTTAGTATGTTCTTTGCCAGAATTTTCGACGGATTCGCACGGTTTCATAGGCTCTTCAATAACTACTTTTCTCGGTCGGCCCCGACGTTTTTTTGGAGGTTGATCCCCAGGAGGTAGATTATGCTTTTCAGATTTTAGTTTCTCATTATCAGGTGTTATAACAATAGAGGATTTATTTTCAATAGCTTCAGTTTTGCCAACACCCTTCAACAAAACAGATAAAGGTAACTCAGTTTCGGAATCATTATCATTTGCAACCGGTGTTTGATCCACATATATTTTGTTGGTTTTGGTTACGGCTGGATTTCCGATTTTGCGTGGGCGTCCCCGTCGTTTCCCCAATTTAACATTTTTCTCTTTTGGTCTAGGTTCATCGATGAATTCAATTTGCAACAGCGAATCTATATCCTGTGCCTCTACTTTTATTTCTGAAAGGAAGACCTCGGCAATATGATATATGTACATATCTATCATTCTTGCATAAATAAATAATTAGGTTTTTTACATATGTACCTGAATCCACAAATCTTTCTTCTAAATTTTCAAGAGCATCGGCCATATGAACAATTTCGGGTTTTAATTCGATTTCCTGTGCACAAGGCTCCGCTTCCTTCCCATGTGAATATTTCCAATCCCAGTGGTTGTGCAACTCAGCCACACGTAAATAAAATACATGGAAGTCGCGCAAAGCCTCCCAGCATGTCCAACAAATGCGTTGACCATCGCATGTTTTCCTCTCCGGCTGAAATGGGCAATATTATATCTTTGCAGATTATTGGAGTTTACTTACTCTTAACCAGAGATGTTGTGATATTATATCGCAGATGTTCAACTGGAGGCCTTCCTCGGAAAATATCTCTATAAAATGTACTACAGATGTAGCATCTTCCAAACATGATATACAGCTCATCCCAGATAACGCGATTATTTGCTGATCCTCGTAAGACTAATGATTAAGAGGAATTGTTTACATCGAGAAGCGAGCTGCCAACATCAATTTTATTTGGATATGTAGATATTTTTTTAAAGTATAATTTTAATTTAATGTTGTTGTTGTAATATTTTAGGTCGATTTGCAACACTGCACAACTATTTTATTTTACGGTTGCCACACGCAAAACTAGAGCAATACCAAAATATGAAACTAAAAGATAAACTAATCACCTTTATTTTACATACATTTTTTTAATCGGTTATGTAGCTCATAAGATATTTATATTAAAAAAAAGCTTTAATGAACTATAATCGCTTAAAATATTGTAATGAAGTGATAAAATGAATAAATTGAATTTTCCCTAACATTGAATTTTTCATTTTCACTTCACATTTTCATAGAACGAGAATTAGCTCCCAAATACATACTTAAATATCCGATTTGGTAAACCCGTCGAAGTGGCAACCGTCCTTAATTTGAGAACAGCTGATTGATTGATTTGTTTACTTTTTCTTTTCTTCTGTACTGTTGATAAAATTTGCGTGGTAAATAAATAAGGATGGCGAACTATTTTTGCGACGATTTAAAGAAAGAACACATGGAACTTGCGACAATCATCAAGGATTGTCATGAAAATTTAAGAACTCAATCCAAAATAAAAGGGATGAAGGAAGCTTGGGATGAGCATTTGCAAAATACTCTTTCATTGCAGCAGTACTCATCGGCTATGTATCGGTTGGCTTCAATTTGGGAGACAAATACTACAAATCCAAACTTATTTGCACGCAGCCGTGTCAAATGGATAGTTGATTATTGCGAATCGTACTTTTTTACCAAGCGAATATTCCTTGAGAAGCGTGATCGCGAGCAACGTTTAGCCCAGTCCTATAATGATATTCCGACCGCGGATATAAGTCAAGTAAATAATACATTTTCGAAACCTATCAATGTTTTAGACGTAGGAAGTTGCTTTAACCCATTTTCTGGAGAGCCAAATTTTAATGTTACTGCGATTGATCTATGTCCAGCCACCACTGATGTCATAAAAGGCGATTTCTTAAAAATTGTCATAGATAAAGGCGAAGAAGTTCTTATAGAATGTGGGGAAGTAAAAAGCTTACCGTGTCAATATTACGATTGTGTCATTTTTAGCCTTTTGTTGGAGTACATACCTTCACCAGAAAAGCGTATGCATTGCTGTCGCAAGGCGTACGATCTGCTGCGCCCCGAAGGCATCCTTATAATTATAACTCCGGACTCCCAACATGTAGGCAAAAATGCAAAATTAATGAAAAACTGGCGTTACACGCTGGGCACTTTGGGCTTTTATAGAATTTGTTTTGAAAAATTACCGCATATCACCTGCATGGTATTTCGAAAATCAGTTAATCCAGCCGTAGCACTACGATGGGCTGAACTGCATCGCGAGGATTATATGACAACGACAATAAATATACCACAAGATGTTATAAACTAAGATTAAGTTACTATCATAAAGGCAATATTTTTCACAATGTGTGAGGTAAGAAGTTGTAAAAAGAAAAATAAAGAAATTTATAAACTATAGTTATCCTGGTTGTAAGTTTTATTTATCGTCACCGTGAAATTCAAAAATATTTAAAAAAGTATACAAATCCTTTTTAGCATATCTTTATTATATGTATGTATATGTACACACTCATACATTTTTGTTAATAACTATCCAAGCTCTGGCTCTTAAAAGCAACCTATATTTATCCTAATAGGTATGCATATCTATTTTCATAATTATAAACGCTTTAAATCTCATTGTTGCATCTTATTGTATAGCCATTTGTAAGTGGTGCTGCATGACCTCCGGATCGATGTTGATTCTTTCTGTGCCAACCGTACTTCCACTGGTGTTAATTTTTTGTGCAAAGAAGGCTGATGTAGCGCCTACTGCCTGTTTCGCTCTNAATAGCCATTTGTAAGTGGTGCTGCATGACCTCCGGATCGATGTTGATTCTTTCTGTGCCAACCGTACTTCCACTGGTGTTCATTTTTTGTGCAAAGAAGGCTGATGTAGCGCCTACTGCCTGTTTCGCTCTCTGTGCTGCTGTTGCACCCATAGCTTGAGCCATAATATTTGCTATATGCCTGGGTTTCTTTCTGTCTGCTTCCCATTCAGCACGATGTAATCTCTGTCGATGCTTATACATATTAGCATTAGAGAAGAAAGTCATTGGACAATTAGGGCAGGTGTATAAAACTTCACCGGTATGTGTGGAGGTATGCTCCTGCAATTAGAAAATTATTTAAGTAAAAAAGAATTAATTGAGATATAGTATTCTTACTCTAAGATCTTGAGGCCGCTTAAAGGCCTTTTCACACATAGTGCATTTGAATTTCCGCTCGCACTCATGGTTGAGGTAAACATGACGTCGTAGTGCACGAGCCGTTGTTGAAACTTTATTACAAATAGAACAACGGTGTTCACCACCGGGATCTTCGTGTATTGATTTCATGTGTTGTTTAAGGCCCGACATATGACGCAACCAAGTACCACAAATTTGACACTGCATAGGCTGTGGAATTGGGCGTGGTTGTTCAGAATGCTCTAGTTGATGATGCTTTTTCAGGTATTGTGTGCGCACCTGTTTGCCGCATTTGTCGCAAATGATTGTACTTTCCGGATCATGATTGTATTTCATGTGGTCCTTGAGCTTGCGCTGTGTTGGAAGTCTATGCAATAAATAATTTCAATATTATTTATTGCAAAAATTTATGGAAATAGACAATTATTGCCAGTTTCACGAAGGGAACAAATCATTTTTCACTTAAATTGCTGGTGAAACCAGCAGTTATACTTACTTTTTATTACATAGTGTACATGAGAATTTAAACTCCGATTTGGGTACATGCTTTGAAAAGGAATGGTGCTCAAATGCTGCTTTTGTTGTAAATACTTTCGGACATTTATCACACTGAAACATTTTCCGCTCTTTTGGTTCTGGCGGGTTGACGTGCGCCTCTTCATGTTGCTCTAGATTGCGACTGTCTTGGAAAAGTCTTCCGCATTGGGTACATTTGAAATGCTCTGGATTCCAATGCAAATATATGTGCTCAGCTAGAGCTTTTCTTTGTGGAAATTTTCGGCCACAGCACATCATATACCCGGGATCCTCGTTATGCGAAGCTCTAAAGTGCCCACGAATTTCAGCAAAGTTTTGGACCAACAACTCACATTTCGGACACGCGAACCGTCCAAAAAATTGCCTGATAGCTTTATCGTACTCATCTTGCTGAGCCCGTTTCGCTTCGAGTTCCTCTTTTGTCATACGTTTAGGGGGTACAAGAGGTTTCTCACGCTTACGATACTTTTTGGGCTTAACAACTTTCTTCTTCGGAATGACTGCATATTGCGGTTTTGGTTCGAAGTCTGGAAGGCTTTCATCTGAATCAGTATTGTCGCTGCTAGAATCACCGCTATCATCCGTACCAGAGCAACCGCCGAAGTCAGCGATGAATTCACGGTCATTATCGTTATCTTCTGCGTCACTATTAAAGGAGACCTGCTCGGTTTTTATATCCTTTTTACCATTATCTTTATTTTCGTTCTTTTCCTTTTGTTTCGTGACGTTTATATTAGGTGATGCTTCTTCAACCCGCACTTTTCTAGGTCTACCACGTCGCTTTTTCTGAGGTTCAGTGGTTGAAGTAGTAGCGGTTTCATTTTCGGTTTTTGACTCGTCTTCGGCTGGTGATATTTTAATAACTCGTTTGCTATCGTCATTGGTATCAGTCTTGATGCTAGCATTCAATAAAACTGATAAAGGCAGTTCGGTTTCCGAGTCATCATCGTTAGTAGCCAGTGGCGATGGATCTCGTTTGATGCGTTTGGGGATGGTCGATGTTTTTGCATTTGGGTCTTTTGGCGGGCGTCCCCGACGCTTGGCTCGTTGGGCTCTTTTACTCGCAGGCGTGCTTTCTTCGATAATTTCGATTTGTGGTAATAAATCTAGGTCATATACCTCTAACTTGACTTCTAGATATGAAATTATTGGTAATTTATAGTATATACACGATAGCTGGACGAATTAGTATACATACCTGAGTCGAATAGGTTACCTTCCATATCCGCAGAAGTTTGCAACTTCTCTTCGGAATTCGTGGCATCTTCAGATTTAAGTTGGATTTCCTGTGGCAATGGATCGTTTTCTTGTTCTTGCTCAATGTGAGCAAAGGGAGTCTTCCAGTCTGCACGGTTGTGTACCTCAGCCACACGTTGATAGAATATGTGAAAATCACGCAATGCCTCCCAGCAAGTCCAGCAAATGCGTTGACCAGTAGATATATCCCTCTCCGGCTGTATAGTTCAAAATATTTCTTATAATTTCAAATATTATTTTAGTTTACTTACTTTCAACCATAGATGTTTAGCAATTATGCTGCAAATATTCATTTGGCAACCTTCCTCAGAAAAAATATCAATGAATCGTGCCGGCGTCATGCCATGTTCCAAACACAACAAACAGGCCATNTAATTTCAAATATTATTTTAGTTTACTTACTTTCAACCATAGATGTTTGGCAATTATGCTGCAAATATTCATTTGGCAACCTTCCTCAGAAAAAATATCTATGAATCGTGCCGGCGTCATGCCATGTTCCAAACACAACAAACAGGCCATTGCACAATTAACGATTGCTAGTCAGTTTAATAGTATATAAACTAATACACAATATATCCAGTTTTATTTAATCTTTTTAAATTATGATAAGCACAGAAAACACAATTAAAATCGTGAACTGTAGAAAATACACAAATCTGCAAAAAAAATCATACTCCACAACCACAAACAAGCTATGCAAAAAGATGTCAAATTGACAGCCTTCCGGAATCGGTTATGGACAGTGTTGCCAGAACTTCTTGGACCAACCGGCTAAATTGGCCAAAAAAAAAGGGCTAAACTGTCTCAACTAAATTTCACGTTTTATTTAAATAAACCACAAGTAGAAAGACTAGTAAATTCATAAAATTGTTGTAGCATTTGCACATTTCGTGACCAGAATTTGATAAATAGCTGATTCACGGGGTTTTTGTTGTTGAGACTGAAATGCAAACACTTGGAAATTGAATTTTGGTTCCACAAATTTGGTTGTTTGTAAATAAGTATTATTCACAGGCATTAGTTTTATTCGTCGAGAAAAAAACTTCTAAGAATCACACAGGCCGACAGAAACCTGTACAAAATTTTCTGAAGATTTTCGGAGCGCTTAATTTGAATCTTAACTCAGAATTTCATTGTTGGCTGTGGTTTAAAATATATAAAAAAAGTATATAAAAAGTATACCGTCACTAGACACGAATAAAGGCGCGCTAGTGTTTCGACGACGAAAAAAGACGCATACAAAAATTTTACGAAAAAAGGCGCTTAAGAAAAACTTCGGCGAAGAAAGACACCTAACCTAGATGACGGCGAAGAAAGACGCGTAATCAAAGATTTATACTTGGGGAAAGACTGCCACTTCAGCACTATTCTCCAATAGCTTCCGCCATGACTACCCTAACTCCGACATTGAAGTGTGATTCTGATGGTTTTTGTGCCCACTTCGTTAAACGATGTAGTCTGTCATTATGTATTCCTTTATGTCATATATTCAACCTATCACTTTCGACTGGATTATTTATTAACAGATGGAAAATTGCGTCTATAACCCCAGTCTTTAAATCTGGAAATAGAAACGATATCACAAATTATAGGCCTATTTCGAAACCGTCTGTCTGCTCACAGCTATTCGAAAAAGTGATACATTTTAAACTCTCTTTTCTTGCCAAAAGAATGATTGAACCCCACCAACATGGTTTTGTAGCTGGTCGTTCAACGGTAACTAATTTAGCTTCTTTTTCAGAATTTTGTATTTCTTCCTTCAAAGATGGCTCGCATGTAGACACCATTTATACGGACTTTTCTAAAGCCTTCGATAAGGTACCACACCTATTATTGCTACACAAGTTGGAGTGCATTGGTGTTCACTTTATTTTCCTAGCTTGGCTAAAGTCTTACCTTACAAATAGGACTCTGTCTGTTCATATCGATGATTGTAAATCTAATCCCTTTGTTGTAACATCAGGTGTACCCCAGGGTAGCATTCTTGGCCCCCTATTGTTTGTCCTGTTTATAAACGATATTAGCTCCTGTTTCAAACACGCCAGTTTTTTATTGTATGCCGATGATTTAAAACTCTTTCGTAGAATAACCTCCTCATCTGATGTTCTCTTTCTTCAGGAAGATTTAGATCGTCTTTTAAATTGGTGTGAATATAATAAACTGTCTTTGAATGTAAAAAAGTGCTTTAAGATGACCTTATCTAAATATCAAAATACCGTTACTTCAAATTACTACCTCGTAAACCATCAGCTTACTTCTGTTAGTGAATTTGTTGATCTTGGTGTTGTGTTTGACTCGAATTTTTCATTTATAAATCATGTTTGTCATTTACTCCCAAAAGTTTATAGTAATTTAGCATTTATTCGTAGATATGCCAAGGATTTTAGAGACCCTTACACTCGGAAAGCATTATTTAATTCCTTAGTACGATCTAAACTTGAGTATGCCTCTATTATATGGAGCCCTATTTATAATTGTCACGCCTCTAGGATTGAGCGAGTTCAAAAGGTGTTTATTCGATTTGCCCTCGCTTCTCTTAACTTCTCAGATACGATTCCCTCATATTACTCCCGGTGTAAACTAATAAATTTGCTATCACTGGAAAATAGAAGGCGTACCCAATTACTCCTATTCGTCTTCGATCTTATCTCTGGATTCATTGACTGCCCATCTCTTCTTGGGCAGGTTACCTTTTATGTGGCTCTCAGAACTCTTCGCTCTCACATCCCCTTTTACGTTCCTGCCGTTAAGACTAACTACTCATCTTTTGCGCATATTTTTCGAGGCCTTGTGGAATTTAACAATATCTCAAAAAGCTTAGATATCGACTTTTCGTTTCCAAGAAGTCTTTTTAAATCATCTCTTGAAACCTATTTTCGTAATTGTACATATACTAGTCACCGTTAATACTTTTAAGCCTACTTCTAGTCTGTAAGATTGTAAATCATAGACTGAATAAAGATAAAATAAAATAATAAAAAGCTATTAACGTAATGTACATACTATTACACCCGCAAACATAGTTGACCGCGAAAATAAATTGCCTCTGGAGACTCGCGCACCACCATAGCCCAGCTTCGCTCTGGATACTGCAGCAGGCTAAACTCGGGTGGAATGAACTATCACTAAAATTTTACTCTACACTGTCAAATTTTGTTTATCTTTTTGATATTTTAAAAAAAACAACAACCATATATACGAATCTTGTTGTTTCTGCTAGTTCTTTAATCTGCATTGATTTCAATGGAAAGTACAGTGTTTACTTTCGGCGATTTTACAGGCAACATTTATTTAAAAGTAACACTCGTCTGGTGTAAACGGCATTGGAACTAGTTAATCGCTTTCAACGAAGTTGGTTCAACTATTGATTCAACTAATTACCTGTAAAATGGCCTCATGTAAACGCTGTATTAGGAAACAAAGGGGCCGTAAGAAGCACATTAGTTGCGTTTTTTTACTCATTTCCAGTAAAATCCAGTAAAAGTTTTTACGAATTTTCATGTTTCGGCGTTTTCGTACGCAAAAACTTGCAAAGTAGGGGAAATTGAGAGAGCGAAAAATGACAGCTGAAGTTGCAAGTTTTTACTGGATTTTACTGGATAAATTTTTACTTGTAAGAATTTGCCAGTACGAAAAACAGCTGATCGCATGTTGCTGGATGAAATTTAAACTAATAAGGAAACTGTTTGTGGATTTTTATTGTTGAATTTCACAAAATAAACCTATTTAAATACAAAATATATTGTTTTATAAGGGATTTGCTGCGAATAAACAACCCATTTATGAGCTGTTCATGAAACTTGCAAATTATTACTGGAAAAGCGTTCGCGTACTTTTTTGCAAATTTTTTCTATGAGAGCGAATTCTTAGAAATAAAGTTACTGGAGAGTTACTGGCAAGTTACTGGATAATTTGTAAAAAAACACAACTATTAATGGAAATTTAAACCAAAGAGCAGGGGCTCAATTCTGTAACTGTGAGAAAATGTAGAGTGCAAAACTCACCGAATAAAATTCAGTAGAGGTTTTCTATTAAACTTATAAAAGCGTCTTAAACCTCGTAAAGCAAGTAAATTTACGAGCCTCGTAAGAAAACTGTCAAAATTTGTATGGAGCTCTATTAACGAGCCCCTCGTAAATTTACGAGGCAAATTTGATGCTCAAACGACCTCGTAAACTTCAGTGTTGCCTAGGGTCCGAAATTTTTATAATAAAATGTATGATAAAATAATGACAATAAATGAAAAAATAATACGCGAATGAAATGAATGAATTTCATCCACTAACTGTATTGACTTAGGTTTTCTGCTAATTTTGGGAATTTTTAATTGTATTTTAGCCAAGAGTGATAGAGGCAAGATGGCGGGATGTTATGGAAAATACTACGAAACAAAAATTGCTTCACAAAATCCTAGTTTATCAGTCACACAGTCACTTTGCGCGCCTTTTCGCAAAGGGGGTGTTCCCATAAATGCCTCGTAAACTTAAAAGTTGTACACAGTTTAAGACTTTAAGAGTTTAAGGGAATCCCCTAAGTGAGTTTTCCGAAATAGAAGTGTATACAATTTTGACAGCTAAAACTCATTCCCAGACTTCTTGAATCGCAAAATGAAGAGTGTACACAATTTTCAGTGTACACTTGAAAACTCATAGTTAAAAAATACAGCCTCAGTCCAGCACATGATGAGTCGGGTATATGGGTACATACATTTGCATTAAATTTTTTATGCGAGAAACTACTGAAAACCCAAAAAACTTTTTTTAAATATAGTACATATATGATTTTATTGCAATATAAATAAAAATATATATATCTAAAAGTAGTTTATAAAATTAACTTAAATATATATATTTTAATTGTATTTTACTAACCATAATATTTTAAGAATTAAAAACAAAAGCCGGCCGTTTGGAATGATAAATTTTTGCTTTAAACCCGTTCGCTGTACAAATAGTTTACAAAACTCTGTTACGTTAAATTTATAAGAAAATTCAAAATAAGGCATATGTATTTTAAAATATTCTAGTAGGTTTGTTGTTTTTATACAGGATCATATCATCTGATCTTTCAAAGCGTTTCTGATATGCAAAAGGAAAAAATCTCATACGGTGAAATTCTATTATTTGGACTGATGCTGACGCACACCATATTTACTCCAAAAGGTCACAGGACACTTTATACGCTTGCCAGAGTTCTTATGGAAGACAGAGCACTCCTCAAAGGGGGGACAATACAAATGAAGCGACACCGCCGTCTCGATGTGACTAGGATTTTCCACTCGGTGCAAGCCAAGATTATCTGAAATCGAAAGATAGTTTTAGTAAACTGTTAAACATACATATTTCATTTCAACAAACCCACCATTTATATAGGCAACATCATTCAAACTAATCGATGAAGAGCCTATCGTCTTCAATTCTTCGCTATTGAATTCTTCATCATCATCATCGTCATCATTAGTTTGACCAATATCTACACTGGGCATATCTATAGCCTTGGTACATGGCATTTCATACCTTGTCTCCTGTAGATCACCCTTAAGCATTTTCATAAAACAATGTGAATCGGCATGATCGTGTATGGCTGAGCCTTGGCCTTCACCCCAGCATAGGATCATCAAATTGAATTTACCGTTACCGGCGTCAACCAAATTGCGTGTGTATTTATAACGATCAAACTTAGCGAAACGTTTCCATTCCCGCGGATTCGACTTATATGTCAACATTATGTGATTAACCATCTCTATATTTACATAGCTCGTTTCGAATTCTTTGTGAAGGGCCGAGATCAGATCCGTTAGATTATCAATGGTGGGACCATATTTGAGAGGTTTTTCTATGCCACGAAAATGATGTGTAGCATCACGTAAGTAACGCTCCTGATCCAATTCAGAGTTGTTGGCATCGACCTTGGAAAGCGCCATTTCGGTGCAAGTTTTATTCACCTGTAAAATGTACATACATATGTATGTAAATAAGAAGCAAGTTACTATTGATGCTGTTGTATTAATAGAAGCCGATTAAGGGACAAAAAATTATATATGCCATCTTTTTCAAAAGCTAATAAATTTTAAGACATTCTTAGTCCATCTTAAATTTATTAGCCCTGAGTAAGTATCCTGATTTGAAGTATAGCTACTTCAGCGCTTTTTGTTAAAGGAGCGCATAAATAAAAATAAAATAAAAATAAAAAATATATCGCTAGGTTAGAGTAGAAAGTTACCAAGTCCAGTTTTCCAAATTTTACAGAAAGGAAGGAAAACCTTTCGCATTCGTTTTCTTCAAGCACTTGTTTTAACAAAAAAAAATTAATAAAAGGTAAAAAATTAGTCTTATCGTCCGATTAATAGCCAAAATAAAAAGTTACATGTAATGCTACCCTTAAAGAACTGAAACAGAAAATCGCTGACTTCAGAATTTTTTTTAAAGGACTTTCCAATTTCAAAAATATGATCAACTAACATAATTAAAAAAAAAGAGGAATGAAAGAAAATTCTGTAGAAACAACAAAAATATCAAGTCTTGCTTCCCAAGAACGAATCTTATTGCATTAAACGAGCAATTCTTGTATATATGTAAATACATCCATAGTGTTCTCGGAAACGGCTCTAACGATTTTGATGAAATATTGTATGCAGATAATCTTTTGGATTCTAAGGTTACCTGAATAGGCACTATCTCCGAGAAGACTCGTATAAGCTTGCCACCTATTCGAAATTAGTTGCAAATTAATTAAAACATCATAATAAGGAAGATAATTTAAAGATCCATAAATCAACATTTTTAATAGGGTTGTCACCTATTTCGAATCGCACATTTATTTATTTTTTTTTTTTGTTTAGAAAAAAGTTGAAATATTACTATTCATGGATACCAAGAGAAGGTGTTATAAACAATGCTTTCCCTATATACAAAATGGTATCCCTTAGGATAGTAGTGTAAGGTTGCCACTTATTTTCGATTCAACACAATTTTTCTAAAACATTATGGATTTCAAATGAAAGGAATTGTTGAGGACTTTGGTCAGAAAATATTTTCGATCAGGTTTGCCACGCTTCTATGTAATACAAACTTTTATTTTGTTAATTTCAATCAGCATTTTTTTAAGTATACACAATACATATACCCTCAAGATATGTCTATTCATTCCGGCGCATTTCGGAATAGGATTGCCACCTTAATTTCTGAGTAAGAAATTTACTTAATAGATATCGAAATCCATTTTTTTTTTATTTCAATAATGGCTGCGTTTCTTTATATATTCCGGATAATCTCATTTCACAGCCGGAACAAACAGAATAGGTTTGAAATATACGTTAGCATATCATCAGGAATATTCTAAAGAATAAGTAAATAAAAAAGTTTATTCCAAATGTTCAGAATGAATAAAGAAATGCAGCCAATATTTTTTAAAGCTATCCAAATTACCAGTATTTGATATCCAAACCTTGAAAACTTTAAAAAGTATATGCTTGGCCAATCTGGTACTAGGTATTGAAAATGCGCTTTTAATTAATTTTATTTCTTTATGTACAACCACATCATGTATATTAGTCCTTAACATAACAGTTTTCAAAGATACATATTGAAAATTTGCAAGGATATTCAAGGATAAAATTTTAAAAGGACTTTTTCGGTACCTATTCGTCTTTCTGCACCAAAATATTTAAACCTTTTTAATTCTATCGAATTTTTTCTTTAATATGATACGCATATTTGTGTTAGAATGTAGAATTGCACTGAGTTTTTTAAAAATTTGTTTGAAAATTTCAAATTTCAAAGTCCTTTTAAGAAAAATCCTGACGTAAGAGAGAAGAATTTTAATGGTTAGTACTGGATAATCCTTACTCATATAAATGCGAAAGGTTTGTTTGTTACGCTTTCACGTTTTAGCTTTATTTTTTATGAAATTTTGCATACTGGTCTCATTTAGCCCAACTTAAAAGATAGGATAGCTTGTATCCCGATTAGATAAAAGGGCGTGGCATCTCCCATACATACTGCATACCTCTGGAAGTATTTGTGGTAAAGTGCTGGAACTTCGTATGGAGATGTGTATATGAAATCAATACTATACTCATGGAAAAAATGTGGTTTCTTGGAAAATGGCCCGTGACACCTGCCATACAGACTGAATTTTTTATACTGCCACCTGTTAGAAAATTAAATTCATCTCAAAGTATTTTATAAGTTAAATGAATTTTTACGAAATGGATGTCGATTGAGTCGTTATATCCCAGAAATGGTGACTCTTAGGAAAAAGTGTCATAAAGGGTTTTAAAGGGTTTGCATGATCTACACATTTTTCTAACCTATTTTTATGTTAAACCTTACGGTTTAGCTGAAAAATTGTAAACATCAATTTATTTGACCTTTGACCTTGAATAAGTTTTTTTTACAGATCTGGGATCGATAAGGACTTTTCTCGTTTCATTTATAATGACATTCGTACCAATTTTCAGCTTTATGGGAGTTACTGCAACCTTGAAAATCTAACTTGACCGGGCGGAAATAGAAAGCAATTTTGAAAATATGGTTTAAATAGAGTAGCAATTAAAAATATTACTTACGCTGGTTATAATGTACTTCAATTGGGTTGGCAAGTGATCATTTACGATAAACAACTTGTGCTATTATGTTAAAATTTTTATTTTCTTTTTTTATTGAAAATTAAATTATTTCAAAAATATAAAAAAATCAAATTTTTCATTTATGCCCTGAAAAGTAAGAAAAAAAACAAAAATAGTCTACCTTAATTGGTTCATACTGAGGTCTTGAGGGGTTATAAGCTAGCTCTCGATTCTGCAGGATTCTGTGTATTACAGATGGAAAGCTTCCGACCTAAGACTGGTAGCATTAAAAATATTTCTACTCTCGATTTACATATATGGTGGCCTTGAATAGGTCTAATTGCGAAGGCATGTATATATTTTTTTAATTTTAATTTTTGATTTTGTTCTTTCGCTAATACAATAACTTTCAACTCTTAGCTGACAAAATATTTTCGAAAAGCGTAATTTAAACTTATACATAAGTGCATTTATAAATACATTAGTATGTAAGTACGTGTACGTATGTCAAATTAAACGGTGCGTTAAGGTCAATGTTCAGTATTTATCAGTTTATTATGGAATTTAAATACCCACAAACATATATGTATGTATGTATACTTTTCAATATAGTATTTACAGATTGTAATTCAAAAACGCCTGGAAAAATTAATCTTAACAGATTACAAGCAGATGAGTGCACTTGTTTCTTTCTTTTCACTGTTCTAAAATTGCTTTTTTAGAAATCAATGAAAATCACCGTTTTTCGTTTTAAACTCACTTTTCGGTTTAATGAAGTATTTTCTTATCGATTTCAGTGGTTCTTTAAAGCTTGAACTTAAATTTGAAACTCGTTTCCGTTAGTTATTTAAATACGGTCTTAAACTTAACCGCTCTTTGAGTCTTGACGCGCACGATTCGAATAAGAAAATCTGAATGATTCGAAAATCGATGTTCTTTGAGTTGAGATTGTAGCTCGTGATAGCTTTCTTTAGCTATTTTTTTTTTATAAATACATATTTACATACATACATGCATATGTACATATAATTAGGACTGTATATTATATACACATACATATGCGCATACGTACAAATCCATATATGTAGAGACGATTGATTTGCTGTACCAGTAAATATTAGCCGGAGATAGGTTTCCCCATCTGTGCACTCGGATGAGATTATTTTGCTATGTACATACTTACATACATATGTATACTATACATACTATTTATGTTTGTAGGTACGGATGCTCCCATTATAATTTTTGTTTTTGATTTATTGTAAGCTTGTTTTGAATCTTCTCTGCGGAGCGTACTAACTCCGTAACAATGTCGGAAAAAACCGCACCGGAGAGATCAAAATTAAGGTGATAATTCGACGTACTGTTATGATAACATGTATTATTGGTTTCATATTTCACGTTCGTGGTATATACATATATAAGGGCGCATAGGCCTGTAAGTTCGCAAACTCGTTATCATCGCAAATTAATTTGGACAAGCCTATCAAGAATTCCGTCTGAGATCACGAAATTCTCCCGAAAATTCGAAATTCGTGAGAATGGTATCACTGATTTCGAGTTATTTTATTTTGATTTATTTCATTTTGATTTAGAATTATTAAAACAAAACATACGACGAATGCGTCGGAATTGCTGATAGCATTTCTCCCGAATTCGTGACGGGAGGTTTTTCCACGACGGGAGTTCACTCGGAATCTGTGATAGGTCTGGGAGCTTAGTTTTGTGTTATTGGAAATATTGAATTTTTCATGGCGATATATAAAAAAAAAAGTACGTCATGCCAAGCAGGAAGTAAACAATTGTAAAGCAAAGTAAAAACCACTAACTTGAAAACAAACAAATACGATGAAAACAAATTCATTAATAGCGATTTCGTTTCTTCCAAAAATGTTGCCCTTTCACGGTGCATGTGGTTGATGTTGCACTCAACCCTGTAAAAAGGCATATTTTTCCCTTCTTGTCCTTTTCTAGCGCACGCCTTTCGTAATATTGGCGTTTTAAGCAATCATCTGATTTGGAATTGGTTTATAAAAAAAGAAAAAAACCGACCCCGCACCACCTAACGGCTATATTTTCTCCAGTATTATTTCTTTCCATTCAAGTACATACATAATATACATTTCTAATGTGAACCATATCGGACTACGAATATGGGTTTTCAAAATATATCTACTCCTGTGCCACCTATCGGCCAAATTTTTTTTTGAGGAAATTTTTCTGTTTCAAATATGAACCATATCTGATCATAAATACGGCTTTTTTAAATACCTCGACATCTGCGCCACCTAGCGGATTAATTCATACTTCACATTGCATTGTCATCGAGTTTTTAGCTAAGTTTAAAGTCTCTAGCTCATCGGGACATTGGTTAAAAATTTATTGCAGGATTTGATTGCACACCGGTGGAACGTAATAAAAGTTTGTAAAAAAAACCAATGAGATTCCGTTTTTCGAAATTTAAAATTTTATCATTTGAAGCTGTTTTTATTTTATTGACGTATCGAAAGACAGTCCCCGGACCTTTATGCTACCACTCTACGCCTTTACAGTTTAAATAAAATTAAAAAAAAATATATCACTCAATTTATTCACAAGATGTGGTGCAGAGACCCGAGATGATTTTACGAAGAATTCGAACGCTTTGCGTATTGCTATAACTTTACGGGACTTATACAAGATTTTCGAAGTACATATCGTAAAATCAATTGCTCCTTCTTGAATTGTCTTGCAAAATTTATGTGTGGCTCTAAACTTTGAAGGAAATCAAACCAAAAATTTAGCTTCATAGGGTGGAACCATCCATAAGTTGCTTTAACAGTTTTAAATAATTGCCTTATTATAGTAATTTCAAAGTATAATTTCATTAAAACGGCTATTTCAGCTATCCTTTTGCAAAAGCCTCTCCCGCTAAGTTAAGCGGGGCACACATTTTCATTATTTCTGGAACGCTATTTCCATTTTTATCCGTTGAATATTGTTCTGCGATCTTTACGTCAGCCGGAAAAATTGGAAAGTCAAAGGGTAATATGGTTTAGGAATTAATCTCAATTCTTCTTTGACCTGGACATGGTTCTTATAAGATTCAATGCACTAAATGTCCTATTTGGAGAAAAACCCATTCTCGTCCCAGGAAGATTACTACGGCCCTGGACCTAACGCTGATCATTATGTTAATTTTAACTTTGCAATTCAATAGCAAATTCTCATAACAACATTAGCATTAACATCATCGATGTAAGTTAAGTCTAAGGTGGATTTTTATATCATAATATAATCTTTGTGAAAATTGCAGATAGAGGGTATTGAATATAAGCCGTCGATGTGTATTTAGTATTTGAAAGCCTCACTCACTTTTCACAAAAAGAGCCTATCTCGGGGTACTGAGAGGAAACCATTTTTTGCTAAATCACATAATTACACCAAGGATTAAATTTGTTTTATTATTTTGATTGGGATATTCGACTTTTATATATTAAACGTCTATATCTACTAACTGAAGCTCCCCTCTTAAAAAAAACTAAATAAACGGTATTCTCTCAAATTGGCAAAAAGCCTAGAGAAGCTTGAAAATTTTTTATCTTTAGTTTAACTGTCAAATTTTGTATACAAAACTAGCAAATACCCGGTGTGCTTCACTGCGCCTTAAAAGTATTTTGTGCTGTTTGATACTCGTATTATAATATTTAATTTATTTAACAATATAATTGAATAAAATTTTTCAAACAAAAGGCAACCCCCCTCACATATTTCCAGCAGTAAACTTTCCTAAACCTCTTTATTTTTTATTCCCATATCGCAATATGTGTTCAATTTATCTTATCAATTCAAATAAATTAAAGTTTTAAAATAGGTGGCCACCCCCAAGAAATATTTTCTTCTATAAGCCGTTTTAAACCTCTTTTTTTGACAGCCATATTGCAATATTTACTTTATTTTATCAATTTACTTAGACTGCAACTTTCAAACAGGTGGCAACTCTGTAATTTTTTTCTTTCTATATTTTAAGTTAGACCTCTAGCAATACATAGGTAAACACTGCATTCAATTCCATGCATTAGTTTTCCAGTGATGCGCACACAAATATACAGCCAGACAAAAAAAATTTAAAAAAATTGTTGATTTGGCTTCGTTGCTCTTTTAAAGACCCCCCATATTAATTTTTTTTTCAATATCTTTAATGTACAGACATCGACTTGTTAGATAATTAAGTGACATTTCACTCCGTCCCGTTACTTCCATTATAACCAGGTCCTAACGATTATTAGTTCTCGAAAATAAGCAGATATATAAGTACATACTTACCATTTTATAATGACCGTTAGTTGCAGCGGCAATCCCTGTACCTGAACTATCGCTAATTCCGCTGTTGTTTGTTGTCGTCGCTGACTCGGCAGTGTCTTTATCAGTATTCGCTGACTTCTGTAGAAGCTTGCTGCGACACATTAGTATAAACTCGTACTGACCGGATACACACTGCAAATGCAACTCAAATGGTTCAAGCGTATCTCTCAACGCTCGTACTCGTATCTCAAGTTGTTACAACCGATTGTTTAGCCGAAGAAAGTTTGGTGCGCCACAACAATTGGCGATCTGTACCTGATGACTGATCTTCACTTGATGTACAAAGTTTGTGTTATTAATCTGTGATTGCAGAGACGCTTGCGTGTGGCATGAATATTCACTTGATGGTAATGTATTCTCAATGCACTTAAAACGTTTCGATTTTCACTAATTGATGAATGTTTACGATGCTGTGTACGTGAATTGCTTGCATGAATTAGTGGCATTGGTTAATCGGCGCCGCGACGAGGTGTATAACTTCGAATGGCTCTGAAGCGTTTGTGTTGTGCAGCTGCATGAATTTTGGGTTTTTATTCATTACATTTGGCCATAGCCACAATACGACCATAAGCTACAAAACATTCCACTCAATTCCAAGTGGCCCTAACTCCATTTGTCGATTCTTGCTTTCTTTGTGTTTTACTTAATTGTAGTGTTTTAAGATTCTCCATTTCCTGAGGTCTGTTCTGCGGTTAAATTTTTTTCTTTTTGAGTGTTTAATTATCAGCATCCAGTGGAGTGTTTTGGGTCGCATTCATCTAATTGGTGGTAACTATGTCTGTTTACATATGAGCATTTTGAGTATCTTTAATTTTTAGCTGCCATTAAGCAAACGAACAGTAGCACTTCGGTGGCAGTCATTAGGTCATTAGCATAAACAACGGTATATCAGGTAGCTATCTAGATATGTAGATATTTTTACCTTCATCAGTAGTATGTGTGTAATTATGAATATTGGTATCACTTACTCTTGTATCACGTTCGCAATCAATAGCTTCTCCTTAGTTTTATTTTGTTTTACAATCTATTTCTTATAAGCGCAGCTTAGACGCAGAGGAGACTTTAGTAAATAGTTTATAGATGCCGAGGTCATACTTACATACATATGTACATCTGATCAATTCTACCGCACTAATTACATCAGCAATTTTTCGAATTCTGTCCCATGGTATT